TTAGGGTTTGTTTTAGAAGGTTGTTTAAAAGATAGGAAGGTATCTAAGGAAGCACGTGGATAGGAAGGTTATTTAATGGGGAAGCAAGGGAATTCATTTTTGGATGGTAAGTGGTATATAAAAGGAAAATATGTCTATATAATGCTTTTAGTTTTTATTAAATGGAAACCTAAAGTTAACGTGTAAAGAGAGATAGAGTTTTTCTCTTGATTTTCTCTTTTTGTGGTGCGTGGTGGAGGTCCTGGCTCCCCTCGTTATGCTCTTTCTTGTTGGTTTTCTTCTCAATATATTCCCTCTCTCTAAAATACGGTTGTATTGTTGGATATTGGCTGCTGGTGATCTCAATTGTGTCAATTATTAGAGCTCGATTCTTGTGGGATCGTGGTGTTGTTCGAAAGCGCGTCATGGCTAGTGGACGTGGTCGATGATTAGGTACTGGTAACAAGCAACAAATCCTCAGAGACATTGAGATTGAGGACTTGAGAAGGCAAGTTGAAGAGTTAACTCAGGGCTTGGTGCAAAACCCAGTACCAACACACTATGATGACGGTATTGAGTCGAAAGCCATTTTTGAGAGCCCATTCTATGTTCACGCTCTACGGCGGGAGCCTTAATTTCGGGAGAATAGATCGTAGGATTTCAGCATTAAAATTGATCTACCTGATTTTGATGGAGAACAACAATGATCCAATCTTCAATTGGATTCAGTATTCTTTGAATTAGTAGTCCTATCTTTGATAGTGGTCCTATTTTTTATAAAGAACCAAGTGACCCTATCTTTGATGGTGATCTTATTTTTGATGAACCACTTGATGAAAATGAAGAAATTGGAGTTCCTATCTATGACGAAGAACAAATTACAAGTGATGGTGATGGTAATAATGTGGATAGTGGTAGTGAAAACGTCAAAGAGGAGGCAAATGGAGGCAAAAATCCTAAAGAAATTTTTTCTCTCGCCAATGGCATTGACCTTTCTTATTTCCAATTTGAGGATTCCACCACGCAGTTGTACGCTACCATAGTTGGTTGCATCAAACCTTCAGTAATCGGTTCAGGGATATTTTAATCAAACCCATAAATTATGGGTTCCAAGATCAAGCCCAATGTCAATACATAATATTCAGGTCGAAAAAGATCATGTGGTTAGCAAAGAATTCATATTAACCCATTTCAAAACTCAAAGGCGGGCTCCAACCAGGGGCGAATGATGCAGATCAAGAGATGGATTATTCAAAATTGTTGTTCTGATTTTCTAGATTCAAAATGATCGTGCTAAATTATTTGGAGCAAGCAGATCATGATTGGAAGAAAAAGCATTAGTAGAGGAATTATTGTATTTTTTATTTGTATGTTTTTTTTTCTTTCTAGTCATTCATTATTTTCAGTAAGTTCATTTTTTTATTTAGGATAATAAGAGTATGTGGTCTTTCTTAGAAAGGTGAGTCTTTTTTTTAGTTTAGAGAAGTCTATCCTTTAGAATCCATTTTATAAGGTTGTTTAAAAGATGGACGGTATCTAATGGGGAACAACATGGATAGGAAGGTTATCTAATGGGGAAACAAGGGAATTCGAGTGGCATATAAAAGGAAAAGACATCTATGTAATGCTTTTGGTTTTAGTGCATGGAAAAATAAAGTGAGAGAGAGAGAGAGAGAGAGAGAGAGAGAGAGAGAGAGAGAGGAGGGAGGGAGGAGAGTAGTTACGTTTGTTTGTTTGTAGTGTCGGTGGTGGTAGGTCGGTCGTCGTCCTCCTACTACGTGTTCGTCCGTTCCGTTTCGTTTCGTTTTC